GTGCGCTGGTGAGTTTCCTTTCCATCCGAAATTGTAATCAAGTCTCAATTGGGAATGGGCATCACCAACTCTCAGAGTAGAAAAATTATCAAAATCAATAGAAGGGGAAAGGGAATTATATGCGAACACACTAACAGGTCGAAATGAATTTTTTTAAAAAAAGTTTGTCGAAAACAGGAAGTGTGAGGCAGGCTTTTATTTTCATCCATTCAAGGTTGATAGCGATTTGGACAAAAAAAATCCTAACAAGAGTTTCAATGAAATGCAGTAATACAGTAACAATTTCTAGTGTCCAAAATAACTTTAAAATCTATATGGCCAGCCTTACAGTTTTATTGCATCCCGTGAATACGCTTTCGATAGATAATCTATCGTTCGTGGGATGCAATAATGGTACAACTCAAAAAGCAGGTGTGGAGATAAAAAGAGTTTGAAGTTTCACTTCGTATTGAAATACATCATTCTTGCATTCACCCTTCGACCATTTGTTGCTGGAATACTGTTCTGAAAGCTATGCCGCAGTTGGCGCCAGAAGTTAAACAAATCTGCATTTCTGGAGAGTGCATTATCTCAAAATTCGTTGTGACACTATTGCACCCTACGAGCGATACACTAATCACTATTTTCGGCAGCCAATTCTAGGGCGTAACTTACCTATGAGGAAGTTGCAAACGCTAGTGCGTTCCACGAGCGGTATTTGGGCGCTCATTAGGTGCGTATGCAGGCCAGGGCCCCATTATAGATCCGCTCCGAGGCGGGCAGAGGGTAGGCAGCCCGAGCAACTTCGCTGCCTTGCGGCTTGTCGCCCGCCCCTTCGCGACGATTTCCGAACGTCAGCCTCGCGCAAGCAACGCGCGTTACACCCAAGTTCGTATTTCATTGACGCCTCGTGGACCTATGGGCCCTAAAGAGCAACTAGTGGCGCTAAAACAGCACGAACTTTCTCCCACGTATTTTCACGCAAAATTACGCGAAAATAATTCAAATTTTCGAAAAATTGTATATGACCTTATTTTAGAATATATTTTTAAGGAAGAGATTTCATTAAGGGAAAAAATTCCTATCTTCAATATTTTAGTTGTAGAAAGGCTCCGAAAAAAATTGAACGTTTACAATTTTCGAAAAATTAGGGCTTTTAACGAACATGAGACCTGCAACGTTCTTCATACTATCCAAAAACAAAATTTAATCAAAAACGATTGAACCTTTTTTTTTTTTTTTTTACAAATGACCCAAGGACTTCATGTAAAGTACCCCGCCAAATTAAAATATCGCATTCAAATTCAAGGGGCCGCGACATCAGCCAAACCTATTGGGGAATATCAATTTCGGAGAAAATCGGCTGAACGGTTGTAAAGGGTATTTCTACCGAAAATTCGCCATTTTCAGCGCAGCATTACATAACTTTCTCTCTACTGTGTAGGGAAAAAGTAAAAAGGGGCGGAGGTTCATCGATCAATTTAGCGTTACCCGTGTGATGAACAATGACTTCTCCTCACAATGTGGTATTCTAACCCAGATAGTACACTGATGTGTTTTACCATAAGAATCTATCAATAGTGCGAATTAGACGACAATATCTTAATAGGGCTGGTCGTGGTGCAAGGGCAACTACAAAACACCGCATCCCCCAACAGGCAGCCAATAAACATTTCGGCTGATCCTTTTGTTTCCCGACACGTAAACTGCTACGGCCATTATACCCGTAAGTGTAGTGCACGTTTTATCACGAAATCTTTGATCTAGTGATCTTTCTCCATTAGATGAGATTCGGTTCTAACCTACATGTCACCTTGCGGGACTTTCCCTATCCTGGGATCTCTCACGAACGGGTCACCGTCCCAGCCAGGACAAGCTCCAAGCTCCCGGCTGGTCACCCGCTTTGTGTGGTAGAGTAGTGCACATAAGTGTAAGAATGTGTAAGCAGGAGGTGAGGATACGACGAGGAACGAAAGATCGCGCGCGGTCCGTTGCCCGGTTGTTAGGGTACTGAGCCCACATTCGCCTGGTGATGATCGAAGAAACTGTGGAAAGCTATCGATCACAGCAGCAGGCCGCTAGAATGCTCCTCCAGACAGCGACTGCACTCCACTTAGCTATCTAACTAGTGTCGAAAATCGAGCCACGACTCTACCCTAGGACCTCCCGTCAGAGGCCCTGCAGTGACATTAGCTGATGCCCTGAACCACCTCAGGCGATGAAAGAGGTCGGCGAAGATTTTATTTTAGCACTGGCTTGGCATAGCTACCTCATTTGTTTTATGCAATTTCATAAATAAAAATTCTTCAACATCATACAATTCCCAGAATCGTCCCTTCTTGGGCATAGAAAGTTATGTGAAAAAATATAGATAGTATTTTAAACAAATGTTTCATTAAGAAATTAGGCTTAATTATAGTCAATCATATGAACCGTGTCGTAACGGTCCACGTTGTGCCAGAAAATCAGTAGTCCACAGAATTTCCTACTTCAAAAGCCTTAAATATTCCACAAACCACTATTTTCTAGAAATCTTTTAGAATATTCTAGAAGGATCAGGCCAAAAATAGTGACAATCGATTCCACTTGCTCAGAGAAATAGAAAGAATTATCGCATCTGTTAACGCCACCCAAAAAGCCACGGTTGTCGAGAATTCACTTGCAACGACAGATTCGAATGAAATGTCAATACGCCACCAGTAGAAATCGCTTGACGCAAATGATGGACTGCGAAAGGTGTAATCAAGAGAAACTGACCGAAACAGGTATTCCCCAATTACTACCCGTAGGATAAAGGAAAAAATTTCACCCTTGCATGTTTCTTCGAGAATTATTTCGTTAACTGATCAAAAATACGCCATTAAATTGTTTCAATCAGCGAATTGACATTCACCGTTTCTGGTCAATTCACATTATCTCGGCACTTTAGTTATGTGGCTGAACATGAATTAATAGTATCAGATTTCTCTCAAAGGGGAGAACCCACCTCTTCTGTATTTTTTTGAAACATTTATTTTCTGTCTCTTCGACTGAACAAGTCATTTACGGAGTTTTAAAAATTAAAATTAATTGGCTTGTAAGAGTTGATCACTCGAACGTTAATTGTCCCTAATTGTTAGATCAGTATTATTGGTTACGATTTTTGACAGAATGTGTGTGTGTGTGTGTGTGTGTGTGTGTGTGTGTGTGTGTGTACTCGGCATTTGAGAATCACGATTGTGTTCTACGAACAGCTCCACCGATTACGTCATGTAGGGTCGAAAACCTAGAGAACACACAAAATGAGTAATGCTTAAGTGACCGACCCTTCTTCAGGGATATCCATTTCTTTTTCTCACACGAGTAGAATAATTAACTCGCACCTCTAAGGGAGGTCAACCCGCTCCTATACATACGGATTGTTCCTCCACCAGTTGATACAATGCGGTGGTCACTTGTTCTACAGCGAACGATGTAAATAAATTCCAAAAATATTTTTAGCAACACCTCACTAGTACTATCACGTCATCCACTGAAAAACTGAAGTATTGTCATTATTAATTTTTGTCGCTGGCGGATGAAATGCCAGTAAAACGTTTAGTAATAATTAATGAATTGTGGAGTGAGCAATACTAAAAGGCTTCGAACGAGTTCTGTTAACAATGACTATTATAATAAAACGTTATAAAATATCTGTTGTAAATCCACACTACGAAGAATTTTCTAGATATATCAGGGTTGCAGAATACTTGGGTGTTTGTGCACAGCTTGTAGAGGCAACCACATGATCTGTATCGTGTGTGGGGTATTTATTTATTGACTTGTAAGGGAGAAGTAGAATTTGAGCACGTTTTTATGCGCTCCAGAATCTCTTCACCTTTTAACTACACGTAGCTGAAAGGAAAATGAAACCACCAACAAAGCGAGGTTGCAATGATCTATTTCACGTGGCGACCCACGCCGCCGCTCTTCCGTCTGACCACGTGCACGGCATCTGCTTATTATACGTTTATTTTTTCTGTTATATTTATTATTTTTTATATATTTATTATAATATTATATATATTATTATTAATATAATTATATATTATTATATATTAATATCATATATATTATAATATTATATATATATTTATTATATTTTTATTATTATTTATTATGTGTTTATTTTTTCTGTTATATTTTATTATATATTTTTGTTCTATTAAAAAGCATGATCAATTTCGTTAATTTTAATGAATTTCCATTTAATTTCAAATACAGGTGACGTTCGAATTCAGAAGACACTCATTTGCGAATGAAGTTGCCCTTATTGTAAATCTTTTACTCTACTTTGGTTTGAATAAAACTGTCCTCGCTGGTGTGATTGTAGGTCTTATGCTCCGAATCGTCGATATACGAGTGAAAGGAACTGACCTTGTTGAAGTGCTTGCGGGTCTATTACTCTGAATCGTCGACGTCCGTACAAATGAATGGAAGAGATCTCGCTGATATGCTTGTGTCTCTTTTACCCTCAATGGCAGATGTGCGTGTGTAGGGCACCGCCTTCGATGTGCTGGTGTATCTTTTACTCTAAATGGTTGATGTAGGGTGCAGGGCACCGACCTCGTTGACGTGCTTGGGCGTCTCTTATTCTAAATGGCTGATGTACGAGTGAAGGGACTGACCTCGATGTGCTAGTGTGTCTCTTAGTCTAAATCGTTGATGTACGTGCTTGTGTGTCTCTTATTCTAAATGGCTGATGTACGTGAGAAGGGCGCCGACCTCGATGTTCTTGAGTGTCTTTTAGTCTACATGGCAGTTGGCACTGACCTCGCTGTGCTAGTGTCTCTTAGTCCATATCGCTGCTGTACGTGTTTGTGTGTGTCTTATTCTAAATGGCTGATGTACGTGTGAAGGGCGCCAACCTCGATGTTCTTGAGCGTCATTTAGTCTACATGGCAGTTGGCACTGACGTTGAAGTGCCAGTGTGTCTCTTAGTCTAAATCGCAGATGTACGTGTCTTAGCCTAAACGGCCGATGCACGCGCGAAGGGCACTGACCTCGTTGATGTGCTTGTAGGTCTTGATGAGGTCGACGGAGAGCTTGCGCAGCGGCGCGGCGCAGGGGTCCCGGAAGGACAGCGGGATGCGCGCCTGCATGGCCTGGATGTCGGCGGGCGTCGCCTGCCCGCCCGCGCCGCCGCCCACGCCCACGCCGCCCGCCGCGCCGCCGCCGCGCCGCCCGCCGCCCCGCCGCCGGCGGCCCGCGCCCCGCGCCGGCGGCGCGGGCGGCGGCGCGGCGGCCGCGCGGCCATCGACGCGCGCCAGCTGCTCCTCGGGCACGAGGCGGCCGTAGAGCGGCGCATGTGGCGGCCCGAGGCGACCCGCCGCCCCCCGCCACGCCGCCCGGCGCGCCGCCCCCGCCGCCGCTCTCCCCCGCTGCAACACGCGCACACAACGACTCGTCAGACACATGCACTCAAACATTACACTTCTGCCTATCGTTCTCTATCACATTGTCCCCTATCGTTCTCCATTACATTTAATCACACGACAGTTATTACTTACGACCAACTACCAATTTCATGCACAATTCTAAGTTACGGTACACATTCATGTATTATAATACACAAATTTATTCATTCACTTGACGTTACAATTTCAGAATGAATGACTTTTTGAGTCACGACAATTTTTTTTTATCATTCTACGGTTTGCTTCCAACGGACTCTTTCCCAGTAATCGCCCTCACCATTAGACGAACGTTCGAAAATAACACGGTAATTCAAGACGAAATAAACGTCTCATCGTTCATAATTGCACCGCCTGTTGAGCAAACTTCCTTCAAGTTACTTTTGAATTAAGTGTGTGAAATAATAATATTGTTTTTTGTACCAGAGATAGAGGGTTTATTTGTGGCCAAGTCAGGAATGTCTTGGATAAAAACTATCGACTTCGAACAAGAATAATTTCCCTTAGAAAGAATAAAACTTTTTTACGATTGTGTAAAGACCTCTATATTACTGATATTTCATCATCGATCTCTCTTTCTTACCAATTAAGTCTTTGAAGAAGCGAGGTCTTAAAAGTATGTGGGAGCAATTTTTACTTGCAACAATCATGTGCAAGAAATAAAAGGAAAAATAAAAGGAAAAGGAAAAATTGGAAACACAGTAACATATATTGTTCATTTGCAGCAAATTGAGAGTAAAATGCTATAAAACGATGCAAAACAGGCTGCACGACACAGTGATTAGACCAGTTTCAGCATACGCCGCAGAAAAACTATAAAAGTAAAGGATGAGCAGATCTTACTATTTTTAAAAGACGAATTATGAGAAAGGTATTTGGACCCAATAGAGTTAGGTGGATTACGAAAACTTTCAAACCGGACAGTATACAAAAACATAACTATTTCAAAGCCATGAACTTAACTTGGCTTATTCATCTCAATAGGATGTATCATAACACAATAATGAACAAGATCTTTAGCTGGAATCCAGTAAGCACGAGGAGAAGAGGACGGTCTAAAAATAGATGAAAAGATGATGTGGTCAATGACATCAGAAAAATGAAGACTGAAAATTGGATGGAGCACTCGCAGAATGGGGGAAATGGAAAAGGATAGTTGAGCAGGCCAAGACGTTCATATTGTAGGGCCTTTCAAGAAGGTCAAGGGCTCTTAGATTCATTGAAGCACTAATTACATCGGTTTTAGGACGGAAGTGAATTCTAAAGCTAGCTAGTACAGAGAATGTGCAAAGTAGAGGAGGTCTATGATAATGTGTGGTGAAGACGGTCCGGCACCAAATAATTCGTTCCATTTTCTTAGTTTCGGAAAGTTGCTTGTCTTATTTCCCATTTTTCGTTTAACAGAAACACCACACATTCGAAAGCTTACACAGAGAGACGACACCAAAGCTGCATTCCAAAAGGAAACGCGACTCTCGTGAATTTAATAATTCCCTTGAAATCGAACTTTACGAAGGTGACACCAACGGCCAACTGCGCACTTTGCCGATTGCGCTAAACAGTGTGATCAGTTTTCACTTTTTTAACGATCTACATTATTCTATAAACAAGTTAAACATTTGATCTTGTCCTAGTCTTTGCTGAATGTCTAATACACGAGATGCTTTCTCGGCTGCCTTAAATTTTTCATTACATACTTTGGGTTAGTTTATATTCTCGAAATACAAAAATTTCAAGCTTTTTTTTCTCTGTAATACATTGCCGTTATATTGACTCGATACAACAATACGCCGTCTGGCGAGAACGATCCAAATAATTAAGTTGTAGCTCAAGATGAACGTATGAAGACTACTCTTTGAAGAAAGGATATTTGTATAACTTATTTCTCCCATAAGAAGGTGATTTTACGGAAAGTATGTCCGATAGGGCCTCTCTGGTGCGATCCCTGGTTCGATTTCCAGCCGGCCAAAAATATATTTGTTTTTTAATACAACAGATTCTGTTTCTATAGCTGTGTGGCAAACGAAAAGATCAGGCAGGCCAAGTAAGCTAGATACGGCGAAGGAAATACTCCCACGCTCGCCATGTTCCTCCCTTATCCAGGCGTAGATAATAATAATAATAAAAAAAAACCAGTAACTAGGCATGGGAACATCAGACTAATCCGATCCCCAAATGCCAAATGAACACATTGCCGAGAGCCGGATCTCTCAAACTAATGTCTTAGATCTAGAACTCTTATCGCGTCTGCTCACATACGTCAACCTCGTCTGTTATGAGCACTTCATCAGCCTAGTTACGTTAATTACTTCTAGGCTGTCCGGGTGACGCCGCGTCGTTGGCAGATAGACCGACGTTTCGCCTGTCATGTCGCAGGCTTCTTCAGTTACGGACAAGTAAGCTCGTCTCCGGTGTTATACTTTATTCACTAGTGGTGGCAGCCCAAGATGCGCCTGATTGCGGAGAGGTCCCCTCTGATTGGCTCGCGATTCTGGCCAACCCCGGGTCATCGACCGCCGTTAGAGATCGGACGTGGAGAACCTGTCCGCACTTGCGTGTGCCCCGACACAGCTGAATAAAGAATAAACCGGGACGGAGCTTTACTTGTCAGTACCCTGAAGAAGCTGTCAACTACCGTACGCGTAAAACTGCTCTATTGCCGTTTAGCAGACGTAGCGTCACCGAAGCCTAGAATAATGGACTCAAGAGCCGCGGAACGCTACTGACATAGTTTACGTTAATCTAGTTACAAATGCATGTTCATTTATCAAATCAAATACATATACTACAACAAGTCCCTGCACTATGCGCATGTCGGTCCGATAGTGCAAAGCAGCTAGCTTGGGCTGATTAAATGCACGTGCCTGTCTATTGCTAGCTGTTCGACCCGACGGACGGACTGTTTGGCTCACAGATTGCGATGATGGCATCTATTGGCAGGTGGGAAAGATAAATTTTGCTCTGATATTGTTTGTACTTCCCCACCATCACGGCGATCATACAAGCGTCGCCTTCAACATAGGAAGTTTTAATCCTGGCCTTCTGCTGGATAAACTGTCCACAGAGTTTTTCCTTTGTAAAAAACACAGGCAGGACAGAACTTACAACCGCCGAAGCAAGGCTTGATCGTGGCTAGAAATCTGGTCCCCGTAAGAGACCGCCGCATAATCCGCGACTTGCGCTCGGTAGGGGAGCGGAGAACGCCTGCCCACCCTCCTTCCGAATCTTATGCTTTGGGGCGCGACGACTACAAAGGCAGCCATGTGCAGTATTCCTCACGTACTCTTCCAAGAAATGAAGAGGCGGTATATGCACGCATTTTCGGCCTTTCTCCCTCTCGCCAAGCACTTGAGAACACAGGAAATAGGCAGATAAGTGGGGTCTACCATATGCGATGGATACGCAGGCGAGGAGGAGGGCGAGGTGGCTGGAGTGGGAGAGAGGGCGGTGGGAAGCGAAGAGGTGGAACAGGAGAGCGTTGGGAGGGCTGCAGTGGTCGCGGCTGCGCGGCACGCGCCGGTTCATCGGCTCCCGGCGGCGGCGTGGGCCGGAGCGCCGGGTACGACCGGCGCGAAGTGCGTAGGGTGCAGGGCGAGGCGGGGGCGGCGAGGAGGCCTGCGGCGAGGGCGCGGGCGAGCGAGAGCGGGCGAGGGCGCGGGCGAGACGCGGCGGGGCGAGGGCGAGGCGAGGGGGCAGGGCGAGGGCGGGGCGACGGGCGAGGCGGGCGAGGGCGGGGCGAGTGCGGTCGAGCGGCAGCGAGGCGGGGCGGGCGAGGCGCGGGCGGGGCGAGGCGGGGGCGAGGGGAGCGGGCGAACGGCGAGCGGCGAAGCGCGGGGAGGGGCGGGGGCGGGCCGAGGCGGGGCGAGGCGGGGCGGGCGAGGGCGGGGCGAGGGGCGGAGGGCGGGGCGGGGCGAGGGCGGGGCGAGGCGGTGGCGGAGGCACGACGCTGGAAATCTACGGCGCGCGCGGGGCACTGACGCCCCCCCCCCGACCCCCCGCTGCCGACCCACGCGCAACGTGCCCCGCCACGACAAACGTTTTAAAACGCCTTTAACAACTTTCGGCAACCGAGGGCATTCAACGCTCGACCCACAATTCATTAACATGAATCAAAAATATGCAACGTAATAAAAATACACTACAATTTGTATTTAGCGATTATATGTCTCGAAAAGGGCAATCGGCCTCGGCGCCGTTAGATCCCTGGGATCCTAGTAGATCACCCAATCAGGAGCCGGCGATGTCTCCAAACCACGTGATCTCACGTAGTCAACGAATTCGGTTTTGCGACGCCGCTTCTGCGGTGGTGGCCATCCAGTAGAACCTTTTCAGCATTCGCCTCGATGACCGAAGGAAGTCACGAAAACCCCAGTTAGAATGGCCCGCTGTGCATTGAACCCGGGCCACCCGAATGGGAAGGCAGCGCGTTACGACTTGAGTCGCTTCGCTCGGTACCCTGTAATGCATCACTTTGGTCAACTAACATTCCATCATGTGTACGTGACGGAAACCACAAACGACATAAATAATTATTTATTTTTGCCAACTAAGGGAACTATTCCTCATAATCGAGACGTGAACATGAATGATAAACAATTATTCGACCCCGAGTTTACCGTACGTCGCAATATTCACCCGAGAGGTCACAATTTGGATAATATCGAAGGTCGTTTCGACAAGAAGTCTATGATAAACGCGGAGGGATTTGTCTTGAAATCAGCACCCGCCAGCTCAAGAACAGCAACACCCAATCAATGAATCATAGAAACTTTCAATTGAATGTTCAGTCTCTTTGTGTTATATTAGAAAGAAGAAAACTGGATAGTAGTTCACAATACGGGTATAAGTTTTTAATAGGCTCCTTTACGGTTTTTAGATATTAAGTACAGGAAACTTACATGGATCCGAAGATTGGTTTTCGTAACAGGAATTGCCTTCCTGAATTCTTTTTATTTTATTTTTTTAAT